TGGGATGATTTGTGTAGCGACTGTCTACCTGGTGGGGCCACGAGCTCCACACGGATAGGCAGGGTCTTTCTCATACCCTGTTTTCCCCCAGCTTCAGCAGGCAGAGAGCACATACCCTTTCAACAAACGTCAAGTTCACACCTGGTGGTGTGGTTTACACTGAAAAAAAAGGGGTCACATTCCTGCTCTCTGGAAATTACATAAAGCAGGCCTGGCTGGTGTGGCTCAGTGGATTGCCCGCCGGCTTGTGAGCCAAAGGATCCCCCATTCCAGTCCCAGTCAGGACACATGCCAAGGTTGCAGGCCAGCAGGGGGCGCGCGAGAGGCAACCGCATGTCGACGTTTCCCTCCCTCTCTTTCTTCCTCCCTTCCCCTCTGTCTAAAAATAAATAAATAAAACATTTTTTTTAAAAAAAGAAAGAAATTACATAAAGCACAACTAGAAAATGTATAACAAAAGGAGGTGTTCTATGTGATATGTACTATGGAAGAAAGTCCAGCAAGATATGGAGATGAGGACAGGCTCTCTGAAAAGGTGATATTTGAGCAGAGACCAAGAGGGAGGGAGGAGGGTATCTGGAGGAGGAGCGTTCCAAGCACGGGGCACAGAGAGCGGGAAGGCTGGAGCAGAGTAAGGAAGGCGGGGAGAGTGGGAGGAGACGAGGGCGGGGAAGTGACAGAACAGATCGCACACGGCCTGAAAGGCCACGGGGAAGACCGAGGGTTTGGGACATCAAAGATGGCTAAAGTCTGAATGGTCTTCCACCTCAGCACTCCAACCTCCACCTTTTGGACATAGGCCTCCGTGAAAGGTGGGAGCAACAGAGGATCCGAGCCCAGGAGGGTGGGCCTGACGTAGATTTTAGCAGACTCCCTCTAGCTGCAATATAGTGGACCAACTGAAGGGGGAACCAGCGCGGCAGGAGGTGTCTGCAGCCTTGGACGTGCACAGCGGCAATGGTGGAAGGGGCTGAGAGTGGTGGAAAGCGGTGGAATTTGGAATTTATTCTAAAGGTGGAGCTAATGGGATCTGCTGACAGATTGGATGTGGTTGTGAGATGTTAACCTAAAAATAAAAAGGCCTTTCAACGTGAGAGGCAACCAACGTTTATTTTAGATCAATAAAAAGAGCTATTTGGGAATCATTAATTCGAGGACAAGACCAAATAGTATTCTGATTAGGAAACAAACACAGGGGTGTTTATGAGAAAGGGAAGGAGAACAATTACATCAATAGAAGGAAGGCATTTCTATTGGTACAGATAACATAACATAGTGATGTTAATTCTAAACAATGTTTTAATTTTAAGTCCAGTAGTCACCAGGCCAGTAGACATCATATCTGCTTTCTTATTATCTTTGCAAACATTTCTTTGGGGCACAGTGTTGCTTTAGGCCCAGTCCAAAGGTTATTTTGCTGTTTCAACATTCCAAATGTCTGAGGTATAAGATGTGCAAGGCAGTTCCTCTGGAATGGCAGCTCTAGCTCCATTTTAAAGTGGTTCCATTTATTTATTTACTTATTTATTTATCTATTGACAAAGAGAAGAAAAGTCACAGGTGACTGCAAGGTTTTTGGCCTGGGTCATATTTAGGCTGGAGTTTTCATGGGGAACAAGAGAAAAGGAAAAAGGGGATAGAGCTCTGGCTGGTGTGGCTCAGGTGGTTGGAGCATCGTCCCATACACCAAAAGTTTGGGTGTTCGATTCCCAGTCAGGGCACATACCTAGGTTGCAGGTTCGATCCCTGGTCAGGGTGTGAATGAGAGGCAACCAATCATCAACATTTCTCTCTTATCTCTCTCTTTCAAATCAATAAACTTTTTTTTTAAGAAAAAGGAGATAGAAAGATAGCAAATGGGGCAGGGGGAAGGTGTGGAGGGGAGGTCAGACAGGGGAAGGGGAAATGTATGAGAGGGAGAGAATTCGCCTACTAGCAAAGGAGAGCCAGATGGGTGCAGGGAGAGCCTTGGGGCGGGTGCAGGGAGGAGAGGCCCTGGTCCTCAGAAACTAAGGACAAAGATGGAGAGGTGTTCCCTTAGAAAGTGTGGCAAGTGACAGTGCTGCTGGGGAGGGGTAGGGAGCCAGGAGCACCAAGGTGCAAGGACCTCGCCCTCCACCTGGGAAGTGACTCCTGTCGTGCCTGGGCCAGAAATCCTGATGGGCAAGTCATTCTAGAGAAGGGCAGACAGGCAAAGTCTGAGTTGGCTGGGATTACCAAGTAGGAAAAATTCACAGGGAGGGACTGCGAACCTAATTCAGATAAGGCGATCAGGGCTAGGTTTCCAAGAGGAAGTGATGTTTAAGGAATCCCTGAATCACACAGAAGACAAGAATCAGAGCAGTGCGAGCAAAGTAAACCTCAAATGCAAAGGCCCTGGGGCTGAGTGTGGATGGCATCCTCAAGGAGCAAGAGGTCAGCCGGCTAGAATGGGGAACCCACCAGGAGGGGAGCCCAGACGGGCTGGTGAAAATCAGATCATGACGGTTCTAGTGTATACAAGGCAGAAATGAGAGGAACAGGGGAAGGATGCCCTGAGCAGAGGGACCAGCTGGAGCCAACACCTGGAGGCGAGGAAGTCGCTGGCCTGTGCCTGTTTGGGGCGCAGGAAGTCATCCTGCCTCTGGCTGTGCTGATATAAACTGTACCACAAAGAAAAGGAGTGAGTGGGTTGGGGCAAAGGTGACTTCCACCAGGGGACCAGTTGCTGTGGTTTGTGACCACAGGCCACCCAGGATGATTCAGCAAGATTCTGTGTTGTCAGAGGTCAGCTCCCTAAAGACCAAAACAACAAAATGGCAAACAGAGTAGTGGATCTGCCCTAGGAATCCCTCCTTCTCACTAGCTCCTAGAGGGGTTAAGCTTCAAGAAACTTCTCAAAAATGCTTGCAGGCTGGGTTCGGTCACCAGTTGCTGTGTGACTTTTGGCACGTTACTCCACCTCTCTGAACATCAGTAGACCACTTTTTTGTTTGTTTGATCCATCTGTAAGTCAAAGGCACCATCCTCTGTCTACATTACCATGGTCACTCTCTACAATAAGGCGATGACTCTGATCATAGTCATTTATAGGCAGAGAGATGGTGACTCGGAGAAAGGAATTCACTTGCCCAAGTTGGGAGCTAAACCCAGATCTGTTGGATTCCAGCAATGGTGAGGCTTTTGGGGAAAGCCTAATCTCAGCAGGCCTAAGATTCTCTATAGCAAGTGTCTGGCACACAGTGGTCACTAAGCAGACAGGAGCTATTCTTATGGTCATTAGCCTTAGGATGGTGTGGAGCCATCTCTCCTCTCCCAGCCTCAGTTTCCTCACCTGCAAAATGGAGACTTAGAATCCTCCACTTGGAATTCTCTCCTCACCGGCTTTGGGAGACATCAGAGATATAAGGTGTGTAAAAATAAATGGTGGAGTTTTGGCAGTAACTCAAAAAGTTAAACGTAGAGTTATCACAAGACCCAGCAATTTCACTCCAAAACATGGACCCAGAAGAATTGAAAATGGTACTCAAACAAGAACATGTACACACAGCTGCATAGCAGCACTAGTCACATTAGCCCAAAGTATAAACAACCCAAGTGGTCCATCATACAGTGATAAAAAGGAATGAAGCCATAAAAAAGAATGAAGCATTTACACTACAACAAGGATGAACCTTGAAAACATTATGTTGAGTGACACAAGCTAAACACAAAAGGACACACATTGTATGATTCCTTTTATATGAAGTGTCCAGGGTAGGTAATTCTTAAAGACAGGCAGCAGATTGGCGGTTGCCAGGGGCAGAGAAGAGGGAATGGGGAGTGATTACTTAATCGATATTGGGTTTCCGTCCGGGGTGACGAAAATGTTCTGGAAGCCTGAATTGTACGTGGGATATTCCTAAGCTCAAGCAGGTTCCACTCCTCTGCCTGAGAGACATGCAGGTGAAACACACCCACAGTGAAGTCACATCCCTTGGAGGATATAGGTGACTCAACAAGAGGGCAGATAGCAGAACCCAGGATATTGGCCAGCTTGACCTGGTTCTTTCCCCCTGGCCCAGGAGAACCCAGCCAGGGAGGCCCAGAGCTAAGGGGCTGTCCTATGTTTAGAGAGAAATCCCTCTGCTATTGTCACTTCTCTGTGCTCAGTCCTGTGCTGACACCCCAAGAAAACTCAGCTCTGTGGCCAGCACCCAAGGAGCTCCCCGTCTGGAGAGTAAGGAACTGGACATAGACACTCCCAACCTCTCAGTGTCAGGACTGAGCCCCAGAAAGGAGCCTGGAGCTGGGAAAGCCGGGAGGAGAAAGCCAGAGGAGGGAAGGCCCCTAGAAAGGGGAGTATAGGAGGTGGCTTTTGAAGAACAAATAGGAGTCCACCAGGTCAAATGAAAAGGTTTGTGAGCATTTTACATACTCTCCTACTTTACTAGTGGGAATGCAAAGTGATATAAGAAAACGAAAAAGCTTGTTAATTTTTTACACACTTGAAAACTTTACTAGTGGAGAGGAAAACAGGTGATATCTGGCAAAATTATATACAAATTTATACAGTTGGAGGAATATATCCCAATGATTCTTTTGCAAAAATAAGAAAAGATGAATGAGCAAGGGTTTTCATAACAACTCTATTTAAAGTTTCAAAAGACGATAAGTAGCCTGTATGTCCGTCAACAGGGGACAGCCACGTTATGGAGTACTATGCAGCTGTGAAAAGGAATAAGCAAGATCTCTGTATACTAGAAACAGTGTTAAGTAGAAAAACAGCAAATTGGGTGCATATATATATATATATATATTTATTTATTTATTTATTTTCATTAAAAGCTAGACCATGAAAAATTATAAATTGTAGCCTGAGGAAGAGGCAGAAAACAGGATGGAAGGCCCAGGAATAGAAGCTCGGGGTCTCTCTGTATACTTTGTTTTGTAGCTTTGACTTTGAAACCGTGTAAATATCTTACATAATTCTAAAATAATATTATATTTTTAAAATAAGGGGTTGGGCCCCAGGCTCTGAGCGGCCCCTGCCCAGGTGGCAACAGTAGTTCTAGGGGGAGACACCATGGGCCCTGAACCCATTGTCCTCAATCAGACGGAGGAACTGGGGCCGCACCAGGGCCCTACAGAAGGCGCTGGGACTGGAGCAGCCAGGAGCCTGAGCAAGAACAAGAGGAAACCAGGGCAGGTCCCGCTCGCTCCTCCTACCAGCCCCTGAACCAAGATCCCAAGCCAGAGGAGGCGGAGCTGGTACCAGTGGGGGATGGAGAAGATGCAGCTGCTGATATACAGGATCGGATCCACGCCCTGGGGTTTCCTTTGCCAGACCCACCATTGGAGAGTGAGGATGAAAATGAGGAGGGAGCTACAGCATTGAGTAACCATGGACCCATGGACCCAGGATATGCACAGCTGGCGAAAAGGCCAGCGGCTGGAGGAAGCCTGCCTGCACCCAGAGTTCCTGCCTGGGCTCGGGGGCTATCAGATGCCTGGTGGGAAGCCATGGTACAGAAGGCTCTCCAAGCCCGGCAGGCGTCCCCTGCCTGGGAGCGACCATCTCGAGAGCTGCCTCGCCTGCTCGCATTCCAGGCTGGAACGAGCACAGAGCACAGGAACGAGCACATCCCTGGTTGTCATGCGCATCTCCATCCTCCCCACCTCCATCTCCACATCAAGGCCAACCAGACTTCTTCTCAGAGACCCCCTTTATTCAGTTCTGTACGCACGGGGACATCGATCCAAGCCCAACCCACTGTAGCATGTATCGCTTTGGAGAATAAAGCACTCTATGTACATAGCCAAAATAATAATAATAAAACAACAGTAAGTCCACACCCACTAGAAATGGCTATTATAAAAAAGAAGCTAACAAGTGCTGGTGAGAACATGGATAAATTGGAATCCTTGTGCACTGCTGGGGGGAATGTGGGGTGGTGCAGCAGCCATGGGAAACAGCGTGGAGGGTCCCTGAAAAATTAAACATACAATGACCATATTACCTATCAATTCTACTTCTGGATATGTACCCAAAATAAGTGAGAGCAGGATCTCAAACGTGTTTGCACAGCCATAGACATAGCACTGTTCACAATAGCCCAGAGTAGAAACAACTCAAATTCCATCAGCAGATGAATGGATAAGCAAAGTATGGTCCATCCATAAAATGAAATATTATTTATTCTTAAAAAGGTAGGAAATTCTGACACATGCTATAACGTGGATGAAACTTGAAGACATTTTGTTAAGTGAAAGAAGCCAGTCACAGAAGAGAAATGTGATTCCACTTATACGAGGTCTCTAGAGGGTCAAATTTATAGAGACAGACAGTAGACGGTGGGTGCCAGGGGCTGGGGGAGGAGAAATGGGAAGTTACTGTTTAATGGGGACAGTTTGAATTTGAAAGATGAAGGTTCTGGAGATGGATGGTGAATGGTTGGTCAATAATGAAATTGCACCTAATGCCAGTGAAATACACACTTAGAAATGGTTAAAATGGTAAATGTTATGTATATTTTACTGCAATAAAAAAAGTACTGTGGTATTACCTCATTTGAATGAGTTCCTTACTCTCAAGTGCATTTGTTATAGTACAATATATCAGAGATATTTTTAAATGGAGGCGGAGAAGGAACAATGAGGTTAATTTTTTATCATAATAAAAGATTGACAATAATAATTACAATATTAATTCTGTTATTTGACATGTTTTTTAATTGCACAGTGGCCCATTTCAGTAAATTCATGCATTCATAAATACGTATGTAGAAAAGGAATCTCATTCTTTACCTTTGGAGGATGTAAAGGAGCCCAATAGTTATTTTGGAAACTAGGGGGAAAAGAAGAATCAGCCATATACCTTGCCTTTCCCATGGAATTGTACCATTGGCAGACCAAGTGGCAGATGAGAGGGTGTTTCCCCTTCCAGAAGTATTCCAGCTAATAAATGAAGAAGAAATAATATCATTTTAATATCACTCTATTGTAGCTTCTAATGAATTAATAGATCTAGACAATGATCATTAACGTGAGATAACATTCTGGAAGTGAGCCAATGAGTGGAGGTTATAGAAGAAATAAGGTGGCTCATGAGTTGATTCATGTCAAAAAGATGATGGATGTACATAGGGGTTCATCACACAATATTTTGAGTACCTTTGAAATTTTCTATTTAGAGAAAAATGTTTTTTCTCCCCTTTATTCCCCTCTGCCCTACACCCCTCAACCCCCCAACATTCCCTCTCCTTAGTTCATGTCCATGGGTCGTACATGTAAGTTCTTTGGCATCTCCATTTCCTATTCTTTTCTTAACCTCCCCCTGCCTATTTTGTACACACCATCTATGTTTCTTATTCCCTGTACCTTTTTCCCCATTCTCCCCCTTCCCCTCCTCTCTGGTCTCCATTTCTGTGTTCTGTTCCTGTTCTAGTTGTTTGCTTAGTTTGCTTTTGTATTTGTTTTTAGGTTCAGTTGTTGATAATTGTGCGTTTGTTGTCATTTTACTGTTCATAGTTTTTTATCTTCTTTTTCTTAGATAAGTCCCTTTAACATTTCATATAATATGGGCTTGATGATGATGAATTCCTTTAACTTTACCTTAACTGGGAAGCACTTTTTCTGTCTGCCCATTCTAAATAATAGCTTTGCTGGATAGAGTAATCTTGGATGTAGGTCCTTGCCTTTCATGACTTTGAATACTTCTTGCCAGCCCCTTCTTGCCTGCAAGGTTTCTTTTGAGAAATCAGCATAGTCTTATGGGAACTCCTTTGTAGGTAACTGTCTCCTTTTCTCTTGCTGCTTTTAAGAATCTCTCCCTATCTTTAATCTTGGGTAATGTGATTATGATGTGCCTTGGTGTGTGCTTTCTTAGGTCCAACTTCTTTGGGACTCTGAGCTTCCTGAACCTCCTGGAAGTCTATTTCCTTAACCAAATACGGGAAGTTCTCCTTCATTATTTATTGAAATAAGTTTTCAATTTCTTTCTCTTCCTCTTCTCCTTCTGGCACCCCTATGATTTGGATGTTGGAACATTTAAAGTTGTCCCAGAGACTCCTAAACCTCTCATTTTTTTGAATTCTTGTTTCTTCATTCTGTTCTAGTCGAATGTTTATCTCTTCCTTCTGCTCCCAATCATTGATTTGAGTCCCGGTTTCCTTCCTTTCACTGTTGGTTCCCTGTATATTTTTCTTTGTTTCACTTTACTTAGCCTTCACATTTTCCTCCATTTTGCAACCATACTCAACCAGTTCAGTGAGCATCCAGATTACCAATGTTCTGAACTGTGCATCTGATAGGTTGGCTATGTCTTCATCACTTAGTTCTATTTCTGGAGCTTTGATCCGTTCTTTCATTTGGGCCATATTTCTTTGTCTCAGCTCACCTGTTAAGTTGGAAGAGGCAGAGTCTTAGGTATTTGCCAGGGCAGGACAACCCAGGACACTGTGTTGTGACGCTTTATGTTAGGGAGGGGTCCAAGAGGGAACAAAGCCGGTTGCTCAGCTCTTGGCTGGCTTTCAGTCCCTTCCCTGCTGCCCACAAGCAAACTGGACCCTTCCGGTGCTGATTCCCAGGTGGGAGGGTTAGGGTATGTTCTACGACCCTGTGGTTCTCTCCCCAATGAACTCCCCTGTGAGGTTGGGAGTTTCTCCTCCTGCCACAACCCCCACGTGTTTTTACAGCCAGAGGTTTGAAGCTTTCTTTTCCCTCACTGGAACCCTGGATTGCACGGTCTCTCTTGCTTCCCAGTAGTTCCTCCCGGTTTAACTGCACACAAGTGTGGGACCACCTGGTCCACCAGCCGTGGCCTCACCTGCCTGGTCCTCTAGCCTCAGCCTTGCCATGTGTCCTCTCTGCCCGGCTGCCTGTCTCAGCCCCGCCTACTGGTCTGGATGAATGTTTGTTCTTTAACTCGTTGGTTGTCAGACTTCCATACAGTTCGATTTTCTGGCAGTCTGGTTACTTTTTGTTTTTAAATTTGTTGTTGTCCTTCTTTTGGTTGTGCAAGGAGGCAACGTGTATCTACCTATGCCTCCATCTTGCCCAGAAGTCTATTTAGAGAAAAATGTTTAAAGTCCTTTGCCTTCTGTCATTGTATTGAAACAGGGTGATGACAGCTAGGAGCCTGTAGGTGCTGGGTAAATATGTCCCAGGGAGTGCCAGCATCTGGCCCCATTTACCCCACATTAGGTCTTGGCCTCTAGCATACTGCTGAGGGGTGAACTCATGATTTCACTGTAGTATCCAGTGTCCTCAGTTACAAAACTCCCTCCTCTGCTGTTCCAAGACCAGGTGTCATAGAGATTAAATCTTACCTCTACTCCTCCAGAAATATACAACTTAAGTCAACTTCTACCCACCGGGGACTGTGGAATAGCCCCAGCTGGAGGCTGTGGGGTTGATTGCTCACACCATGACTTGCTTTTCCCTTTGGCAAATTGAATTCAACTATTCCTGGAGCTGGCCTGTCCTGGCTTCAATGATTTGGCTGGGGTTCCAGACTGGCTTAAGGCCCAGCCTTAATGCCCAGCTGGCTGCTGAGGGGCCCGGGCCAGCAGGGAAGCCTAGGGTTGGACAAATGCCCCAGCTGCAGAAATAATACATGACTCGAATGTGAGAGTCTGGTCATAACAGATTATCCTGTGGGCTGGATCTCTGCTGGGGAGGCTGGAGCAGGTGGGTAGATTGCCAGAAATGACTCCTTCTTCACTGAACACTTTCCATGTGCTAGAGCAATTTTACCTGGTTTAACTCTCACAGTAACCCTATGAGGTTGGTACTATCATCCTATTTTAGAGATAGACAAAATGAAGGATAGAGATTAAGCCACATGGTCCAGCTGGTAAGCAACAGAATGAAAATTTTCATCTGGGTGGGATGGCTGAGTGTGGGTCAAAAACTTTATTAAGAGGACACATAAAAATAATTGTACAACAATGTGTATATAAAACTTGATTAAAACTTATTTTGAAAAAGTTTTTAAAGGCCACATGAATAAAAACTAAACAACATCACTATTCTGAACAGATATCTGCACCCCCATGTTCACTGATAAACTATTCACAATGGCCAAGACATAGAAACAACCTAAGTGTTCATCAATGGATGAATAAATATAGAAGATATATAAATATTATTCAGCATTATTCAGCCATAAGAAATAAAAGGAAATCCTGCCATTTGTGACAACACGAATGGAAGTTGAGGGCATTATGTTAAGTGAGATAGGTTAGACAGAAAAAGACAAATACTGTATGATCTCATTTACATGTGAAATCTAAAAATAAAATCAACTTACAGAAACAGAGAGTAGAATGGTGGTTGCCAGGGCCTGGGAGATGCTGATCAAAAGATACAAACTTCCAGTTATAAGTTAAATAAGTTCTGAGAATCTAATGTATAGCTTGGTGACTATAGTTAATGAGACTGTATTATATACTTAAAAATTGCTAAGAGAGTGGATCTTAAAACTTCTCACCACATACACACACAAAAAAGGTAACTATGAAGCAATAAATGCATTAACGAATCTTATTGTGGTAAGCATTTTGCAATATGTACATATATCCGATCAACTCACTGTACCCCTTAAACTTATACAATGTTATATGTCAGTTGCATCTCATAAAACTGGGGGAAAGGAAGAAGTCACACGGTAATAAATATTTTCATCTTTGCAGACCAGATGGTCTCCATCAAATAAACTGAATTCTGCTGTTACAGCATGAAAACAGTCATAGACAATATATAAACAAGTGGGAAAAGATGTATTCCAACAAACCTTCATGTTATGTAAATGAATTGTGATATAGCCGTACAATGGAATATTATTCAGCCATAAAAAGGATCAATTTATGATTTTTAAAAAAGCACTGATTCATCCTGTAATATAAATAAAACTCAGAAACATTAGGCTCAGTGAAATAATAAAAGCCCTAGCTGGTGTGCCTCAGTTGGTTGGAGCATCATCCCATAGCCAGAAGGTTATAGGTTCAGTTCCCGGTCAGGGCACATGCCTAGGTTTCGAGTTTGATCCCTGGTCCAGGAGCATACAAGAGGCAACCTGAGGCAACTGACCAATGCTTCTCTCTTGCATCAGTGTTTCTCTCTCTCCCTTCCTCTCTCTCTCTCCCATTCTCTCTAAAAACAATGGGAAAAAAAGTATCCTCAGGTGAGAATTTAAAAAAATAAAAATAAAAACAAACAGCAGGCATAAAAAGTCACATACACATGATTCCATTTATATGAAATGTCCAGAACAGGCAAATCCAGAGAGACAGAAAGTGGATCAGTGATTGCTAATGAATAATGCAGAGTGACTACTTAATTGGTACAGGGCTTTGTTTCAGGGTGATGAAAATGTTTTAGAACTAGATAGAGGCAGTGGTTACACAACATTGTGAATGTACTAAATGCCACAGAAGTGTGTACGTTAAAATTAGTTCACTTCATGTAAGATGAATTTCACCTTGAGGAAAAAAATAAAAAAGATTGTTCACGAAACAGACACAGACAGCTGGTCCATAGGCTGTAGTTTGCTGACTCTTGCTGTACAATATCTCTTAGGAAAACCCAGAGCTGAATTAAAAACACACAGGATTTAAAAAATCTTACCTCAAAGCCCTGCATACAGCAATTATTAGTATTATTAATTATTAGGGTCTTCATTGTTATTGTACTACTACTACCAAGTTGAATATTGCTAACTCTGACCTTGGCTCCAAGCCCAGCCCTTCTCCCAGTTCCACTTCCTCTGGCCTCTGGCCCTGATCCCAGCCTCGCTCCAGATCCGGGGCCCAGGGCTCTGCCTGTCTGTGTCAATGCTACTTCCATTAGCGCTGTCCGCAGGCCGTGAACAGTAGCCGCTCTCACAAGACCCCTGGTCTGTCTGCAACCTGGAGGCGCCTTGACCTACCTGGCACGTGGCCTCACGAGGTGGGAGAAAAGTAGGGTTCAAGGTGATTTGCCCTTGGAAGCTTAGCCTTTCTGCTTCCTCCCAGGCTCAGCCCAGACCAGGCGCCTGTGTATTTGTGTATGTGTGCGTGTGTGTTTCACAGACCGACCCCAAACTGACCCCACATCCTCAATCAAGCCTTTCATGTACTCAGCAATGCCTCCCCGCCACCCACCTGGTCCTTGGCCTGGGCTGGGCATTTCTGGGCACCCTAAGAAGACTTAGCATCTCCTAGTCTCAGGAAGACAGAACTGGACAGAGAAACTCCCAGCCCTGAATGGACAAGTCTAGGTTGAAAGGAGGAGCCCTAGGCTAGGGAACCAGGAAATAAAAACTGAGCAGCGAGGGGTAATCAGGGAGGCTTCCTGGAAAAAGAGTCCTACCCTAGAAGATCACAAATCCCAGATAGACCCTAAGGGAAATGCTGGCCAGCCATGACATTCCCCTGGTTCAAACTGGACCCAGCATCTGCCACCAATCCCTAGCTTTAAAAGGAAATCAGCCTCTCTTGCTGGCCCATGAATTCCTGGGTGGCGTTGCTCCGCAGCTAGTCTGCAAACTCTTCCCCAGGGTGAAGGGTCATAATCACATTGATCCATACCCAGCCACGGGATACTGTAAATGTGCACTGGACTTGGAGTCCTCCCCAGTTCCTAGCTGTGTGACCTTGGGTTCACACTTAACCCCATAGTTACTTAACCCCTCTGAGCTTACCCTTGTGCTGGGTAAAACGGGCATAAGATGGTTAAATAAAACCACAAGCCCCACCCCCTGCACCTGGCCCAATCAGTGGGAGAATCAGGGGGACAAACTCAAGGTTTATACTGCTGAATCAAGACCATTCCCAGACCACGGGGCATCAGGTGGGACCTCATGGACAGCCACCCCCACAGTATCCCAGGGCTCCCCGCTGCTCTGCACAGGGCCACCAGGGCGAGGGCGAGGTGAGGGAGGCACCGGGACAGGATTGGAATTCCTGATTTTTCCTTTTACCTCTGGCTCCAGTATTTTCTGCACAGCCTTGTCCCTGATCCTGTCTCCATCTGTTCTAAAGTGTTGATATTTTGTTCATTGTGGACTTCTTGCATTCACTTTTGTCTATTAAAATATTACTTAACTTGTTGACTGAGATCTTTGGTACCACCTTAAACTTTGTGCCAGAGGAGGATGCTCCACTCTCCTCCTTCTAGTCCCTGCCCCAGATGGACCCATAGGCTTCCTCCTGCACATTTTTTGACCAGGCAGAGCCCCATACCCTTTGGGAACTGGGACTCAGAGGAGATTTCCTCAATTCCCCTGGACAGTGGCCCCCATTCACTCCCTCCCCTAGAACCCTGCTCCCTGAACCCCCACTGTGCCCCCAGCTTTGTGCTGGGTGATGCTGAGTCCCCGGAAGGAAGACATTGGATACCTGAGCAGGCTCCCTCTGGGGAATCCCAAGCCTGGCTCAGCCTGGGCATTCCCAGGCTTGCCCAGGGCCTGCCCTTTGTTGGGTGCCCAGCCTCGTGGGTCCCCCGGAAATTCCCCAGGCTGGTTTCACGGTGGGAGGCCCACAGTGAAGCAATTTACACAACACCCCAGTCATGTTGAGCCCATCCCACCCAACACTCAGATAAAGGGGAGGCAGGCTCACTTCTGCAAGACTCAGCCACTGCCTGGGGGAAGAGGGAGGACCCTTCGCTATCAACCTAGGTGAGCCATCAAACTGGGTCCTGGGACAAAGTCGGTCAGGGTCCAGAAGGCCCTGGGCCCAATCCCTGCTCTATCCGCTACACCTGGTGGCTTTGGATCAGGAGCTGGAACTGAATGAGACACCTCCTGATCCTCTGGGTTCACATCTGGCCCTGGCAAAAATAATCCCCAGCCTCTGCGCCCATTCTCTGCCTGAGCCTAAAGTGCTGACAGCAAAGGCAGGAGGCAGTGCCAACTTCAGGTGCGTTCTCTTCTCCCCTCCCCCAGCACATCCAGTCTTACCAGTTGGGCTGGCAACTGAAAGTCCCCTGTGGTGGCCAGCAGCAGCTACCAAAAGATCGGGAAATAGGTAGGGCTTGCTGGATTGGCCTCAGTCTGCCTTTCTGGGGAATGGGCAGAGTTTGTTAGAGTCTAAACTACCTGGCCTCCGGGTGCCTCTTGGGTTGGGCTTGGCTTTCAGACCCTTGACCTCAGTCTGGTCAGAATAGGATGCGGAAGCCCCTGGGAACCATATGACCTTGACCCGGGACACTTTGTCCCCATGCCCCTGCTGCCTCCCGCCCACAGCTCTGCAAGGGGCAGCCGTATCATTCACCCCTGGACTTTGACAGTGGCCAAAGACTCCTCTCCGCTCTCTGTGCCTGTCTCCTTCCAGCCCTGCCGAGGTCTCTGCTGAAGTCAACCAGATATGCCCCCTGGAAGCTGGAATCCCACAACGGTAGTCCGGGGTGCCCTCTGGATCCTGCTCGGGTTGGTGCTGTGGCCGGAGCCAGGGACAGGTAGGTCAGAAGCCAGAGGCCTGCGGCAAGGACAATCAATTCTACAAAAGTGTACTGCTGTCCCATCTGTGTCTGGCCCTTTGCAGGGTAAGACTGGAGACCCCAGGAGACCCCAGGAGACCCCAGTCTCAAGGAACCTCCAGTCTGGGGACACAGATGTTTCTAGCCCCACAGGGTCAAGGCAGGGGGTAAGGGAAAGACCTGGGGCCAGAAGAGCGAAAATCAGGAAGGTTTCCTGGAGGAAGGGACACAGATCTAGAGCAGGAAGGAGAAGAATTTTACTTGGAGAGAAGCAGAAGAATGACAATGTGAATGGTCCAACCCAAATTTCTGGGTTCATAATCTTGCTTCTCCCACTTTCTATCTGTGTGACCTAAGGCAGGCCATTTCATCTCTCTGAGCTCATAGGGTCATCATGAAGATTAAATTTGTTAAGTTATCTAAGTCCCTGGCACAGAGTAAATGTTTAATAAATGTTAGCTATCATTCAGCAACCCAGCTCTGAGCCCAGCACTCCCAGATTCCGGTTCAGCCACTGACATTTCCTCCACAAGACACAGGCCCACCCTCTGCCTCCCGGAACATCCTCCAGTCACCTTGCCCTTTAAAATCCCCCAAACTCCAATCCGCCACCAAAAACTGTCCCTCTTTCCCTCAGAATACTTGGGGACTCTGCCCACTTTTGTCCCTCGCACTGCCACCACCCTAGCTTTGGCGATCTTCACTGCTCACGCCCACAGGATTTCCCCTTCTCTTCTCTAGCCTCCTGAAAATTCCCTCTCCACAGGCAGTCCAAGGAGCGGCCGTAGCGCGCTCCTGGTCATGAATCTGCCATGGCTCCCCAGTGCTCGCGGATCGTCTCAGTTCCTTAGCCTGTTGTCTGTCCCTCAGCTTCCTCATTTACTAGCGAGTGGTGTTGGGAGTCACAGGGCTGTCAGACAGAGAGCACGGAGATGTGGACGTGGCGGCAGCAGGAGGCTCAGGAGCAGGGAGTGCTGGGCCACTGGGCTAACGCCGTCCCTCCTCCTGCAGCATCCCTGCCCCTCCTCATGGGCTCTGTCATCCAGGCTCTGTCTGAGCTTGAGCAGAAGGTGCCGGTCACCGAGGTCAGCCACACTGCTTCTGTGTGGAAGCTGTCAGCCCAGGACTCCTCTGGTCTTCGCGATCCAATCCATCGCTTCCTGCTAGGAAGATGGAGTCTCCAAGCCACCAAGTTGGACCTCCTTGCGCTGAGTCCGGAGCTGCGAGGCCTGATGGAGGAGGTGGCTCGACACGATGTCCGGGGCGGGCAGGAATACGGGGTGGTACTGGCACCCGATGGCTCGACGGTGGCTGTGGAGCCTCTTTTGGCGGGGTTGGAAGCAGGGTTGCAGGGGCACAGGGTCATCACCTTGCCCTTGGAGAGCACAGCTCCTCCTCTGGATGCTAGAGCCACCTTTCCAGATGTTGAAGCCATGGTTTCTGAGGTAAGAGCCACCTCCCCAGGTCTCAAGGATGCCTCTCCAGATGTTAGCTCTGCAGACATTGGAGCTATGTCTCTAAATGTTAGAGCCACAGATCTCAACGTGGGAGCCATCTTTTCAGATGTCCGAGCCCCCTCTTCAGACGTCCAAGTCACCTCTCCAGATGACCACACCTCCTCACCAGATGCCAAAGCAAAGTCTCCAACCACTGTGGACAGCCTCCTGCTGGTCACCTTGGCCAGAGACCTGGGCCTGACCTTCCTCAAGGGCTCCCAGACCCCGAGCCCCCCAGGCCTGGGAGCTGAGGGCTGCTGGGACCAGCTCTCCGTCCCCAGGAACTTCAGAATCCTGGACCCCGGTGCATCACTGCTTACCACGGCCTTCCTCAATGGTGCTCTGGATGGGGTCATCCTTGGAGACTACCTGCACCGGGCCCCTGAGCCCCGGCTACCCCTCAGCCTCCTCCTGAGCCAGTACTATGGAGCTGGGGTGGCTGGAGACCCACGACTTCGCAGCAATTTCCGAAGGCAGAACGGAGCTGCTCTGACTTCAGCCCCTGCCCTGACCCAGCAGGTTTGGAGTGCCCTCCTCCTTCTGCAGAGACTGGAGCCAGCACATCCTCAGCTTCAGGGCATGAGCCAAGAACAGCTGGCACAGGTGGCCACCCTGGCCACCAAGGAGTTCACTGAGGCCTTCCTAGGTGAGAAGGGTCCCCTTCCCCAGGGTCCTCCCCCTCACAGACGCAGATACCATCAGCTCCATGTGGTCAGGGGGAGCCTGGACTAGGAATTCCAGAGGGGAAACAGGGCTCTGGATGGGGTGCAAGGGCAGTTGCACAGGTAAGCAAAGGCTAGATTCGGGTCTTGAAGGATGAATAGGGGTTCATCTCACCAAAAAAAAGTGAGGAAGAAGACATTGCAGGAGGTGACTCAGCACATGCAAAGGCACAGAGATGGGAATAAAAGTTCAACCAGTTACTCCAGTGTAACTTTAGGTGAGTTGCTTCACTTCTCTAAATCTCACTTTCTTCAGTGAAGTGGGGTTAATCTGCTACTCCTGGATTTGCTGGATGGTTTGAGAAAGAAAGCAAGTAGATCACAGCTAAAGCATAAGTGTGGGCCAAGAGTCCTCTTCCTCAGTGCGCTGTCCCTCCTAGGGCTCAGGGTACGCCCAGCTGCAGAGAGTGCTGCGTCCCGGGTTGTAAAGAGCCTTGAAGTCTGAACTACAGCCCTTGGGGGTTATCCTGAAGGGGGTGGCAGTCAGAGCCGAAATTCTAATAGGACTGAGGTGCTGTAAGATTTAGTCAAGTTGGATCCCAAGGGAGGCCAGCGTGGTGTGAGACTGAACTGTCCCCAAATCTAGAAAGAGGCTCGGGGAATGGCACAGATGCGCTCTCCTCCCCCAGGGTAAGGAATGGAGGTGCAGGCGGCAGGAAGAGAAACCCTCGCTGACCCCCAGCCCTCTATGCCTTTCCCCTCAGGGTGCCCGCCCATCCACCCCCGCTGCCGCTGGGGTGCAGCACCGTACCGGGGCCTCCCGACGCAGTTGCGGCTGCCTCTCGGGTTCTTATACGTGCATCACACATACGTGCCGGCATCCCCCTGCACCACCTTCGCGCGCTGCGCGGCTAACATGCGCTCCATGCAGCGCTTCCACCAGGACACTCAAGGCTGGGATGACATCGGCTACAGGTAGGCGGGGCCTGTGAGCAGGGGCGGGACCAGTTACTCGGCGCAGACCCTGGATGGGCGGAGCCTAACGTAGGGGGCGGGTTGGACCAGAGTAAACCTGGAGAAACAGAGGAGGACTAGTGGGATGGGTGGGGCCAAGGTGGAGAGGGGCTTGGCCTAAACAACGGTGGGGCCCTCTGGGGCTGGGGCGGGGCAGTGATGGGGTTGGGCCTAAGACAGAAAAGGGTTGTGAAACGGGCAGGAGCTGGACTTGATACGTCGTGGAGAACCCGGACAGAAAGGGGCGTAAACCAACGCCGGAGAAAATAGGAGGGTTACTGTGGTGGTATCTGGTGGAGGAGTGGGACAAGGCAGGGTCTGACAGAGACAGTGAGACCAGGCAGGACTTGGCACAGATATGGGGTAGGGCACTTGTGACGCCGTGCGTCGGACGCCCCCTTCTCCTTCGCAGTTTCGTGGTGGGCTCAGACGGCTACGTGTACGAGGGCCGCGGCTGGCACTGGGTGGGCGCGCATACACGAGGCCACAACTCCCGCGGCTTCGGCGTGGCCTTCGTGGGCAACTACACCGCGGAGCTGCCTGCAGAGGCCGCGCTGAGCACGGTGCGCGACGTGCTTCCCAGGTGCGCGGTGCGCGCTGGCCTTCTGCGGCCGGACTACGTAGTACTTGGCCACCGCCAGCTCGTGCGCACCGACTGCCCTGGCGACGCGCTCTTCCACCTGCTGAGCACCTGGCCTCACTTCGGCGCGGTGAGTCCGCGATGCCTGCACTACCTCGGCCTGCGGTCCATCTGACACAAGCTCAGCCCCTGACCCCTGCCTGCCTGCCTGGCTTCCTGCCCAACCTCAGCAGGCCCCTCTCTTTCCTGTAACCCCTATCCCCACACAGCCTCAGCCAGGTCCTTAAATCTCTCTTGCAACCCTTCTATTCAGGCAACCTAGTCCCAGCTTTTAAGTTGTTCTGATCGCAACATTTCCCACCCACTGTCCTCTGCCTACACCACCTCAGCCTAGCCCCTGATCCAGCCAGCTTGTTGTTTGCCCAGCTTCCAAAACGTCTGCCCTCTCAACCAGGGACCCTGACTCCTCCAGCAACCCCTCTGCCCTCACAACTTCAGCCTGGCCTGCATCCCCTATACCCAAGTCACAATGCTTCTGCCTGCACAACCTCATCCCAGCCCAGCCAGCCTTGGATTTACCCCTGCCCCCTACGCAAAGGACCTCTGTATACACAACAGAAACCTAGCTGCTGTCTCTCTACAGAAAACCCCTTTGCCTGCACATTCTCTATCCAGTTCCTAATGGTAAATTTCAGTCTTCTGTCCAGAAAGTACCATCCCTGAGGATCCTTGTGCAGCCCCAGACTCCCTGACCCTTGATGACAATTCTTATGCCGGCACAATCTAGGCCCGACCAGCACAACGTTGGCCCCAGACCCTAACTCAATCGCCAAAACACCTCTACTCACACACCTGCACGATCTCGTGCTACTTGCATACTACCACTCTATTTCATTAAGCTGGCCTGCAATTAGAGTTGTATCCACCTCCTCACTCAGTCTTCTTCCTCATACTGGGTTTCACCACGAGAAGAGGTGACCCAGCCTCATGTTCGCCCCCCCACCCCCCGATCCTGCCCCACCATGCCAAGCCTCATACTCTCTTGTCTTTTCTAGAATGTGAAGCGAAGACCTGCCAGGAGGGCCTCCAGGAGATCTAAGAGGAACCACCTCCAGTGATCTGCTAGCCACAGGCCTCCAATAAAGTGACTGTGGAAAGAAAGCCTGTGTCTATGCATCCTCTGTGTTTGCGCACATTGCCTTGGTTTGGATTTGCTCAGAATCAGACCCTGAGACAAAAATTCCAATGAAACTAGTTTGGAAAGTGATCCCAGGACATATCATGTGGGGAACAAGAAAGAGAGGTAGGGAAGGGAAGGCGGCCCAGAAAGGGTGTTTTATCAAGCAAGCTGGCGCAGGGGGCACATGGAGCTCAATCCCACTGGGGACCTCTGGGAGACAGCATAGGACACACCCGGAAGTCATCCCCCCTAAGGGGTGACGAAACTGGAGTATTAATCCTCCAACTCCCATAGCCATTGGCTGAGGACTTCTCTCGAGGAGGTGCTAATTCTCTGGCACTTTGGGGCTGCTTGTTGCATGGGCTCCATCTGTCAGAGAAAGTACGGAGTTGGGAGTGGAGCCAGTATGCAATGAGGTGGTAAATGCTCAGAGATATGGAGGAACACAGAAAGGCTCCATGTGTGTGCAGGGAGTGGCCTGATGAAGTATGAATAAGATGGGCATATCTAAGGCATGTGCACCTGCCTGAATACATCCAGCTCCAGAAGAGTCTTTGGCCCTCACTGAACACCCTCCTCCTCAGGATGAGTTATAGAATTTATGAGGCCCAGTATGAATGAACAGGCAGGGCCTGTTGTTCAAAAAGTGAGAACTTCAAGACAGCAATAGCAGAGCATTAAATCAAATGTAGTGTGGAGCCCTTCTGAGCACGGGGTCCTGGGTGACTGCACAGGCCACATGCCCATCAAGGTAATTCTACCCACCCTACTCTGTGGATTCTGGCCACCCTTGCCTTTACATAAACCATTTCTTCTACCTAACATGATCTCACGGCCGGCTCCTTCTCATGCTTCAGGTTGCAAATGCACCTCCTCAGGGAGGCCTTCCTGGATTTTTCCAGCTCAAAGAACATCAGTTCTGCTTAGCCTCTCCATTTCAATCCTTCTCACCAGGTAGAATCGTCCTGCACTGTGAGGTCCAGGAGGGCAAGAATCATGTTTATTTCGTACCCCATAGCTTCTTTGGCACCTAGCACGTAGTAGGAAGCACTCAGGAAATATTTTTTTGAATAAAAGAAGCCTCCTATTATAAACTTTCTGAGACTGATATTATCATTGTGTTGTACAAATATGGAAATTGAAGATCAGAGAGAGGAAGTGACTTGCCTGAGGTCACACAGCGAGAGAAGGACCAGCTGGCACTGGAACCCACTCATGGGCCAAGATTCTACTGACTCTCATGTTGACTCACTTATTTCTCAGAACAGTAATTGCTCACCTCTTTTTCAAGAAAACGTTTCTTAGGAAAGCGCATCAATGAATTTTCACAACCTAACACATCCATGTCACCAGCACCCTGCTCAAGAAATAGACATGTTATATATATGTTATGTGGCTTTCACCTCAAATTTTTTCTTTTAATTCTCACCCAAGGACATGCTCATTGAATCTTTAGAGAAAGAGAGAAAGAGGTAGGGTGGAGGGGAGAGAAAGAGAGAAACATCAACATGAGAAACTTCTATCAGTTGCCTCCTGACACACCCCAACCAGAATGGAACCTGCACACTTTTGGTGTACAGGACGACACTCCACCAACTGAGCCACCCAGCGAGGACATTCACCTCAATTTTATTTTTATTTTTTTAAAGATTTTATTTGTTTATTTTTAGAGAGATGGTAAGAGAGGGAGAAAGGGAGAGAAACATCAATGTGTGGTTGCCTCTTGTGCGCCCCCTGCTGGGGACCTGGCCCTCAACCAAGCATGTGCCCTGAGTGGGAATCAAACCGGCGACTCTTTGGTTTGCACGCCAGCACTCAATCCGCTGAGCCACACCAGCCAGGGCTCAGCTCATTTTAAAAGCAGAAACAGAAACCATGACCAACTCCCAGAAGCCTCCCTCATGGCCCCTACCTACTAGCCCCTCCAAAGGACACTGACATCCAGACTTGCTGCACATAGTTTTGTCTGCTTTGGAACTTAACACAAATGGGATGATACAATGCATAGTCTTTTTCTCTTGGCATTGTTTGTGATTTATCTGAGTTCAATCATTCAGTATTTTGTTCATTCTCGTTGCTGCATGGTATTCCACTGTGGGAAGAGACCACAATTTACCCATTCTATGGTATGTGGACACTTGGGTTGTTGCCAGTTTGAGGCTATTATGAATAATGTCAGTGAGCTTATCTATTGGATGAACTGCTAGGTCAGAGGAAAGGTATATGGTCCATGTTTGTGAATCAGACCAAACAGTTTTCCAGCTTGAGTGAATGGGTCTACACTCTAACCGGCAGTGGATGAGAATTCCGGGGGCTCTACGTTCTCACCAGCATGTGCCATTTTGCAGAGAAGGCAACTGAGGCTCAGAGAGGGGTACATGCTGCGTCCTGATCAGTGAGAGAGTCTGGTTCCTGCTCAGTCACCTCCTCTCCTCCTGCATCCTGCCCGCCCCCCCCCCCCCCCGGTGCCTTACCAGCCTGGCTGTGGGGTGGGGTGGGTCAGACAGGGTCACGTGGAGTAGCGTTCAGGAGGAGGAAGCCAGGCAGTGCGCAGAAGGCTGCTGCTTCTGAGGCTGTCAGGAAACCAAGGTAAGGGAAGGAATGCCTGTGGCCCCTGACTCGGGGGCTTCCTAGGGGCAGAGCTGAGAATGGGGGTGGGGGGCCAAGATAAAGGCAGTATGCGGGCAGATACATAGCAGAACTGTCACCTTCTCGTGCCCCAGGAGAATCCCCACCATGGACCCACCATCAACAAACCAGTCCTCAGAAGCCCAGCCTGCAGCCCCATCCCCACTAACCTCCTATCGCTGGCACACAGGAGGTGGTGGGGAGAAGGGGGCTGGAGGGTTCCACTGGGGCCGCCTCGCGGGCTGGGGGAGAGCACTGAGCCACCAGGAACCCATGGTCAGCCAGCCAGCTCGTCGCTCGCTGTTCCGCCGTGTCCTCTCTGCACCCTCCAAGGAATCACGTCCAAGCCGCCCCCGAATATCCAAGAGCTTCTGGGGGAGGAATAAAAGCCCACCATTGGAGCCAGAGTCAGGACCAGAAGCTTCAGGTATGTGGCTCCCCCACCCAGAGCTTGGGCCGGATGCTTGGGTTTTGTCTGCCTCCAGAGCATCAGCTTTACAGACACAGGAAGTTGTGGGGAGAGCAAAAGCCCAACAGGAAGTGGCTGGGACTCAGCTGCCCTGTCTTCCCTCTTTCCGCCTTACCCAGGGCCTGGGGGAGGGAGGTGTGGCCAAGGGCCTGGGGCCAGGGGGTCCACTGAGGAAGAGACAGGGAATAGGTTCTTGGCCCCAGCTGGTCTCTTCTCATATTCAATGACTCAGTCTCATCCTCTCCTGCCTGGATATCCATCTCAGCCTCCTCCTGCTCTCCAGCTTCTATGTCTTAGTTTCTTCACTTCCTTGGGCCTCAGCTTCCCCATCAGTTAAATGGGAATCATGATCCCTACCTGGAAGGGCATATGATTTCATTCCTTCATTCATTTATTCGTGCATTCAAGCCGAGGTCTTTGAGCATTTACTATGTGCCTGGCCTGGATTTAGACACTGAGGACACAGCAGTGAACAAAACATGTCACTTGCTACCCCGTGAAGCTCACAGTGTAGTGGGCATGAAAGACAGTGAACAAGTATAAATGAGGAAATGACAGATGGGGCTAGGTGTTGCACAGAGGGATCTAGAAGGGTATCAGGAGGACTGGAGTTCATGCATGAAGCACTAGCCAGGGCCCAGCACATTTTAAGTAGTCCATTAACAGTGGGAGTATCATTTCTGCCCCTTGTGGTAAAACAATAGGACAGCCTGGTAACCTGGGAGGGTTGATTCAGCCCTTCAATTCTTGGAAGTTTTTAACTCTCATCATTCATAGACCCATTTTTCAAAAGCATCCCTTCAAATCCCTCCAGGTATCAAGTATTGCCCACTCCTTAGAATCCAGAGAGAGCTCTTTCACAAGCAGACCTGATCTTCAAATGCACAAATACCTCCCATGGCTCCACCAAACCCCCAGGATAAAACCCTTTGTAACTGGCACCCAAAGTCCTGCACCAATCTCTTCCCGGACCTTCTTCATCTCGAGCCTCTGAGCACCCCCACACCCTTTTGTCCTTCCCTTTATTTCCCTGGGCCTTGCCATGTCTCAGCCTTCGATCAAGCTGTTCCTGCCATCAAGGTCTAACATAAATTTACTGTCTCTGGGAGGCCGCTACACTGGCACCACCCTCTACCCTGAACTTTTTCCGTCCCTTTCTCAGACTTTGAATATATCCCACCTTAAACTAGTTATTTGTGTAAGAAACCAAGGCTGCTGTCCTGTCGTTTAACTTCTTGGACCTAACCACTGAATTGGTTCAGAGAAGAATGCTTGCGTCTGAGGCCCAGCTCAATCACTCACAAGCTGTGTGAACATGGGAGAGTCACTCGGTCTCTCTGGTTTCAGTTTTCTCCTCAGTAAAATGGGGGTTATAATAGCCCTTTCAATGGTTTTGGAGGATTAAATGAGAGAAAGCATGTGGAGCAGTAAACGCAGAACAGGCTCCACAGTAGGTGGGCTGAGTCTACTACCCATAACCAGTGGGGACAAGGCCCAGAGAGGGACCTTGCTCAACAACTACTTGACGTGACTGCTTGGGAGAGGGAGGATGAAGTAAAGAGGAGGCCCTTACGAGGGAACCCCTGGTGAGCCTTGGTGAGTGAAAAGGGTGGTCTGAGGTTCAGGGAGAACTCCCAGGTTCCGGCAACTCCTCTTCTACCCAGAGCCGGAGCGAGAGCCGGAGACCGCTAGTCCTCAGATCCCTGAGGCCCCTACACCCGATGTGCCCATCTGGAATATTGGGGCCTTCACTCTGCTCGATGGGAGGCTGGTGCTGCTTGGTGGTGAGGAGGAGGTGAGAGAGGGCCTGTGGGCAATGGGAAGGCAGGAGGAGAAGGGAGTGGAGATAATGGAAACGTGTCTGCCTCTCCCTCGGTCTCCCTGCCTGCCTCCCCTTTCTGACTAACCACTCCCATGGAGAAACAGGGTCCTCGACGGTCCCGGGTGGGGAGTGCTAGCTCTGAGGGCAGCATCCAGGCAGCCATGGGGAACCTCAGGGATCCGGGTAAGTAAATGGGAGAGGTGGGGAGGGCAGGGGCCTTTGGGAGCCTGTCAAGGTAGGGCAGAATCCAAGATGACCCCATCCCCCAACCTTCTACCCCTGACCACCCACAGACAGGACCCCTGGAAAGACCGAACCAGAGGCTGCTGGCCCCCACCAGGTCCACAATGTTCGGGTGAGACATCCAGTGGGGGTGGAGGGAGAGCACAGACCTCAAGACTCTCAGAGGTGAAACGGGACTATTACTGGGCACTTCTGGGCAAGTCACTGAACCCCTCTTGGCCGCAGTGTCTCTGTCTGTCAGATGGAGCTAATGGGGGAACCTCCCTCTCTGGGCTGTTTATCAAAGTCAATAGAGAATGTAGGAAAACATATGATTGGTGCTTCAGAAATGGAATCTATTGGCTGCCTTTATTATTCCTACTAATACAGCCTGAGCTTTTGGTCGCCTAAGCTTGTGGTCCCCCAAGACCAGCAGACCCTCCAGGACACCCTGAGGGAAAAGGAGCTGAGGAGGGAGCACAGGGTGCTGTCCAGCTGACGTTCCTCTCCCCACAGGGGTTGCTCAAGCGGCTGAAAGAAAAGAAAAAATCCAAGTCAGAGCTGGGAGCCAATGCTTCCCGGGATGGGTAAGAGTCTCTGAGGGGCTAGAGGGGCTGGGATTCAACATTGCCCCCTCCCCCTCCCTCATCCTGCCTACCATTCTGACCTTCAACACATACCCTCTGTGTCCCCTTCCATGTGCTGCCCTGTGCTGGGCCATGCTAGGGCCACTGAAAGACCCTAGCATGGGGCAGTTCCCCATGGAAGAGTGGGAGTGGAGTCTGACAGAATAACTCAAAAATGGGAGCTAAGTTAACATCCTGGTCTGGGAGTGTCAGGGAAGGGAACTGGGCTGAAATCCAAAGGATGGGTGGAAATTAACTAGGCCAAGAGCAGGGACAGCATTCCAGGTAGAGGGAACAACATGGGTAAAGGCCAATAGGTCAGATGAAGACACAGAAGCAAGGCCAGTGTGACTGGAGTTCAGACAATGAAGGATCAAGTGAAGAGAAATGAGGTCAAAAGATATCAAGAGCTATACTATGTAAGGTCTTGCAGGCCACCATAAGAAGTTGGGTTGATCCTAAAAGTGACGGGTTCAAGTCCAACTTAGGTTTAAGTCCATCTTGGCCTCTCTCCACCCTTCAGGCTGTATGAGGTGGTGGGAGGAGATGGGAGAAATGACCCTTGTTCCCTCTCCCCTCCCTAGGACCCCCAGTGTTCTGGGCTCTCGGGAATCTCTGATCACACTCTCTGAGCTGGACCTGGGCGCCGAACGGGATGTGCGGGTCTGGCCACTGCACCCCAGCCTCCTGGAGGAGCCCCACTGCTTCCAGGTAAATGCAGGCAACTCTTCAAGTCATCCCGACCTTTTGGCTCCACCCTTGGTCTCAACCGCGCACTGGAATCCCTCTCCCCAACAGGTAACATGGGCAGGCGGGAGCCGCTGCTTCTCCTGTCGCTCGGCTGCTGAAAGAGACCGCTGGATCGAGGACCTTCGTCGCCACTTCCAGCCCAGCCAGGTCAGTACAGCGTAAAGTCAGGAACTTGGAGGCCCGGGCCACACCCGGAGCCCCGCCCCTTTTAGCCAACCTTCGCATAGCCCCGCCCCTTAGACTCTCCTGCCCGCCCACACCTATGCAACTTTTCCGAGACCTTCCTCATCTAGTACCAGCCCCTCGCACGACGACCCCCCGTCCCTTCTTTTCAATCTCCATCCTATTTACACCCAAAGCTCCGCCTACCAAGTAGTCTCCAAGTCCCCATCCCGCGGCTGTTGCGCAGTACCCTATAGACCCGATCTATCCGGCAGATCACAGAACAGCTCGAGGTCTTCCGCGTGGCCACCTTGGGACCCCTGTGGCCCGACTTTCTTCCCCCAGGAGTCCAGCGATATGCCTGGGGACATGGGCCCCGCGTTTCACCTCTGGTGCTTACCACAAAGCACCCACTTCTCCCTCCACCATTCTGGCCCGCAGGACAGCGTGGAACGAGAAGAGACGTGGCTGAGCGTGTGGGTGCACGAAGCGAAGGGGCTGCCACGGGCGGCGGCTGGGCCGCCAGGAGTGCGCGTCGAGCTGTGGCTGGACGGCGCGCTGCTGGCGCGCACGGCGCCGCGGGCTGGTCCGGGCCCGCTCTTCTGGGCAGAGCGCTTCCACTTCGAGGCGCTGCCGCCAGCGCATCGTGTGTCGTTGCGGCTGCGCGGAGCGGGCGCAGGCAGCTCGGCGCTGGGCCGCGCGACACTGGCACTGGAGGAGCTGGGCGGCCCCCGCGCGTCTGCGGCGGGCGTGGAGCGCTGGTTCCCGCTGCTCGGGGCGCCAGCCGGCGCGGCGCTGCGGGCGCGCATCCGGGCGCGGCGCCTGCGCGTGTTGCCGTCCGAGCGCTACAAGGAGCTGGCGGAGTTCCTGACTTTCCACTACGCGCGCCTGTGCGAGGCACTGGAGCCCGAGCTGCCCGCACAGGCCAAGGAGGAGTTGGCGGCTGCCATGGTGCGCGTGCTGAGAGCCACTGGCCGAGCGCAGGTGCGGTGCGGCTACTGGGCGGATCTGGGTGTCCTGACTAAGTGGCACCTGCCTGGGGCGGTGCTCCCTGAGGGGTGAGGCCTGGATTCAGCGGCGAAGGTCTGGGCCTGAGCTGAGCCTCAGCGCTGAAAGGCTTAAATTTCTGCTGTGAGAGGTGGAGGTTCCGTCCTGTTAGGTGCCCCAGCAGTAGGGGCCGGGCCTGACCTGCAACTATGGGGAGTGGGGCCTGTGCCCAGGTGGGAATGACTCGCCAAGGGCAGGGATTCCCCCTGACTCAGTCTGTGCCCAGGCAACATGACCCCCGCTATGCCCAGGCACTGGTGACAGATCTGGGCACCGCGGAGCTGGCACGCAGTGGAGGCCGTGAGGCGCTGCTGTTCCGGGAAAACACATTGGCCACCAAGGCCATCGATGAGTACATGAAGCTGGTGGCACAGGACTACCTCCAAGAGACTCTGGGTGAGCAGTGCAGGGGAGTGGTGTCTGATATAAGGCTCCTGGGAGGACTAGGGGGTTCCAGGGGAAGATCTGGGAGTCCCTGGGTAAACTGAATTCTGGCAGTAGGTGATGCCTTGGGGGTGCCGGGATCCGGAAGGGAACTGGGGACTCCCTGAGATGTTCGGTGCCCCCAGAGTAAATTGGAGACAGAGCTGGAGGTTGGGTGTGGTGGGTCCTTGTGGTCATGGCCCTGGCCCCTGTCTGGCTGTGCTGGACTGTAGGGCAGGTCGTGCGGCGTCTCTGTGACTCCACGGAGGACTGTGAGGTGGACCCCAGCAAGTGCCCAGCCTCAGAGCTGCCCCAGCACCAAGCCAGGCTGCAAAACAACTGTGAGGAGGTCTTCCAGAATATCGTCCACTCCTATGAGTAAGAACCAGGGCTCCAGCACCTAAGCCTGCCCCTGCCTCCCAGCCACTGTGCTAGTTGCGAGATAAAATACAGGGTGTTCAGTTGAATGTGATGCAATATTTGGGACATACTTATGTTCAAAAATTATTTATTTTTTACCTGAAATTCAAGTTTAACTTTGAAGATATTTCAGTTTCATTTGCTAACTCTGGCAACTCATTCCCAATGTTATGCCAACTAAACCCATGTAACCTAGGACGCAATTCCTTGTCCTCTAGATACGGGTGACCACAGACCCTAATTTCATGCCACCGGACCCCAGTTAACATAGGACCCCAACCTTATGATCTCTGATTTCAGGTGATATCATGCCCCCAATCGCATGACCCTTGGCCTTAAGTGATCCTCTACTCCAAATCCCATGCAACTGATCACAGGACACCTGGGATTCCAATTCCTTGACCTCTGACCTCTATGCCTAATCCCATGTCACCTGGGACATCAATACTATGATTTCTGAACCTAGGTGACCCCGCGAGCCCATTCTGTTTCGTATCGTGTACTCTGTCTGGCACCACAACCTCATGTTATAGCTAGATCCCAAGCTCATGGCCTCTGTCCCCATGTGAACCTGAACCCCCAACTCCAAGATCACTGACTCCAAAAGTCACCACAGTACCACCACCATAAATCCTGATCCCAAGCATCATTATCTCTGCTGTTGTCAATCTTGGAACTCAGAACGCAGGTGACTCCTAAGCCCTGACCTTAGGAGTTTGATCAACTTTGAACTTCATGCCCATATACTCCCCCTTTGACCATTGCCTATTCTTTCCCAGCTGGTTCCCAGCGGAGCTGGGCATCGTTTTCTCAGGCTGGAGAGAAGCATGCAAAGCACGTGGCTCCGAGGCACTGGGCCCCCGGCTGGTGTGTGCCTCTCTCTTCTTGCGGTTCCTGTGTCCTGCCATCCTGGCACCCAGCCTCTTTGGCCTGGCACCAGAGCACCCAGCACCCGGCCCAGCCCGCACCCTCACACTGATCGCCAAGGTCATCCAGAATCTCGCCAATCATGCCCCGTAGGTGCTGGAAGGCTGGGGGCAGAGTGGGGCCGTGGGGGTGGCAGATGCATGACCTGACCCACCCAGTTGGACCTTTGCCCAGGTTTGGTGAAAAGGAGGCCTACATGGACTTTATGAATAGCTTCCTGGAGAATCACGGACCTGCCATGCAACGCTTCCTGGACCAAGTGGCCATGGTGGATGTGGACGCAGCCCCCAGTGGTTACCAGGGCAGTAGTGACCTGGCCCTCCCGCTGGCAGTCCTTCATGCCCAGCTCTGTACCATCTTTGCTGAACTTGACCAGGTATGACCTGAGCCCAGAGCCCAGTATATGGCATCGGGAGGCAAGAGGGCAGGGAAATCCTGGCTCTAGAGAGCTTGCTCAGCATCTTCCCTACATGCCTCACCAGGCAACCCGTGACAGCCTGGAACCCCTGCCCACCATCCTGCAAGCCATTGAGGAAGGCCGGCCTGTCCCTGTGTCTGTGCCAATGCGTCTTCCACCACTCCCAGCCCAGGGCCACTCCAGGTAACCTGCCTGCCTCCAGTCTGGTCCAGTTCTGGTGGGTGGGAGAAGTGGCAGGGCCAAAGGCAAGCACAGGGTCTGACAGGGATCAGAGGTGAAGGCAGGATTATGTCAGGGGTCAGGGATGGGACCACATTGGGGTCAGTGTCAGAAACAGTGTTGGATGGAAGTCAGAGGCTGGGGACGGGGTCGTCCAAGGGATCAGGGAGAAGCTCACTGTGGGCAGATGGCAGGCCCAGGATCAGATTGAAGTCCAAGGTGGAAATTGGTCATTTCAGAGGAGAGGTCACATCTGGTGTGAGAGAGAGAAAGTGACATTGCGGTCAGCAATGAAGGTCAGGTTGCAGTGAGAGGTTGTTGATGGAGTTAAATCAGGGGTCACAGTCGAGTCAGATGTCAAGGTACAACATCAAGGGTTATGGACAGGTTAATACTGTAAGCAGAGATCAGGGTCAGATGGCTCAAGGGTATGGGCAGTCATGTCTGGGGTCAGAGGTCAGAGACCATGGTCTTTCAGGGGGCAGAGACAGGTTAGTCTAAAGTCAGAGGTTGGGGTTACGAGGGGATCATTTAGGAAGGAAGAGGATACCCTTGTGAGCAGAAGTCAAGCCCAAGGTCAGATTGGAATTGAAGATACAGAGAGGGTCAAGGCAAGGGTCATACTGTGTCAGAGTTCAGGACAAGTCCAGAGAAGAGTTGGTGTCAAGGATCATAAAGAGAACAGTATTGTCAGAAGTCCAGAGCAGGGTCAGGGGTCAAAATGTGATCCCATCAGCGACTGGGTTACACTGAAGTAAAAGATCATGGGTGTGGTCATTTCAGATCAGAGCTAGGGGTAGGGTCAGCTCAGGGGCCAGTCAAGGGGCTGAGCTCTTCCATCTCATCCCCAGCTTTTCGGCAGGGGAGAAGCCTGGCTTCCTGCCCCCTCGGGATCTCCCCAAGCACACGCCTCTCATCTCCAAGAGCCAGTCCCTTCGCAGCGTTCACGGCTCAGGATGTTGGGCCCGGCAGCGGCCAGACCAGGAGCAGCCGCCACGGCTGCCCCGGCCTGTGCAGCGCACACAGAGTGTACCAGCCGGCCGCCCCACTCGCCGCCGCCCGTCTGCAGGGCCCCGGCAGCGACCCAAAGGCTCCGTACGCACAGGCCCCGCGCCCCGCGGCTGGCCCTGCACCGGGGCCTCGGCCTCGCTTCCTAGGAAGCCGTCAGTACCCTGGCAGCGCCACCTGGACCAGCCGCGAGACAGAGACCAGGCGCTAGGCACGCACCGACCCGTGGGCAAGGTAAGGTCCAGCCTAGGTCTGCGCACAGAGGGAAGAAAAGAGACTGGGAAGCCAGGCAGGTCTGGGTTCAAATATGAGCTCCCTACGTCGTGTTACCCTGGGCCTAGCTCAACTGTCTCTGAGCCTCAGTTTCCTCCTCTGTACAAGAGAGCAACAATCCCCAAGAGGCAGGGTAGTGAGGATGCTGAGCGCACGGAGCAAGGGAGTTCAGGGTCTTCCAGAAGAAGGGGCGGGACTTCGGGTCAGGTTACAGTGGGTCCCTGCCCCACAGCTGGCCGAGCTGCAGCGCGAAGTGGCCGCCCTGCGCGAGGAACAGAAAGTGTTGTCCAGCCTCGTGGAGTCGCTGAGCACCCACATCCGGGCCCTGACTGAGCAGCAGCAGCAGCTTCGCGGCCAACTCGAAGACCTGGACTCCAGGCTCTGCGGAAGGTGGGGCCTGCCTCTCCATTAGCTCCGCCCCCACGTAGACTCGCTATACATAATCAGGCCTTACTTTCATTCAGGCTCTGCCTCTCAGTCAATCACTCAGTCGCACTCAGATCCCACCAGGCACGGTCGCGCCCCAACATACCTGTCTAAGACCCACCTCTCGGTCAGCTCTGCCAGTCCCTAGGTGAGCCCAACCCCCAGGTCCCTGGCAGGTCACCTGGTCAGGCCCCATCCCTCAATCAGACCCTCCTAAACAGGTTGGGCCAGGCCCTCTCATCCGGGCACGCCCTCGTACCGGTCACCACCCCACCCAGGACGGGCCAAGCCCCGCCTCCAAGGGTTTCGTTTCATCCTAGGCATTCCGGGCTCTGATTCAGCCCCTTCAAGTTTACCTAGGCCTTGTTCCCAAGTCTGGACAGACTCCGCCTCTAACTTCAAGCCCCGCCCCCTGAACCCCTAGGTCTCCAATCAGGGGCTGAAGGGGAGTTCCCCAGTCTCTGAGCTTCCCCCTTGCTCTTGATTCCCGCAGGACCTCGCGTCTGGATCCAGAGCGTGACCCTCCAAGCAGTAACGCCCACTGGCTGAAAAGTCTGGTGAGCCCCGCCCCCGACTGATTTCCTGGGGCAGATCTGGGCGGTGAGGAAACGAGGTTTGGGGTGCAACTCTCCCCTGGCTCTGAGCGCACCGCTGCTGCCTCTCCAGGAGCACCGTCTGGCTGAGATGGAGAGTTCTCAAGCCCAGCTGAGGGATGCCATCCAGAACCTGCAGTTCCTTCCATGGACTCCTGGGACCTGGAGCCAGCCCCTGCCCCTCAAAGCACCCTGCGTCAACGGAGACACCACCTGAGCTGCCCACTCCACCCCACGTGGTCTGAGAGCAAAGAGTTGGCCGTTTTAGGGGCCCTGCCTCAGCCCTATATGGCCTACAGTGTGGAGTGGAGCTGTAGGTGGCAACTGGTCTGGCACTGTGAGGTCGCCCAGTAAAATCTCGATGTCAGTAAAATCGATGGTTTCTTTGTCCCTAAGTGTTGCCAATCAGAAAGCAACTCCTCTCGTAAATTCTCCCCTAATTGGAGGGCTCATGACGAGGGAGATGTAAAGAGATTCTCACCAACTGTGTGACTTCAGGCCTTCACTCTCTCAGAGCCTCAATGTCCTCTTCTGCAAGTTGGATCTAAAGGTCCTTACACAGTAAAAGACCCGTTGTTTAAAGTATTCAAAAAAAGGTATTCATCATTTGTTAGGCCCAACACATACTTCTCAATGAAGCCCAGATCCCCACCAGATCCCACCTTCACCAACCCCCAGGCCCCACTTGAGAGTATCTTCCAGGGTCCCTAAATCCCCCACCAGCTCCTTCATAGCAGGGAGAGCATGGGTCTGGGAAGCAGATGAAGAAATAAGTGGGTAAGTGTGGAGATAGTTGAGTTCTGTGGCTGTTGGCTGGATAAATGAGTGAACATTTGAATTATGGGTGAGGCGTAGAGTGGATGGGACATAGGCAAATGAATAGATTAGCATTTGCTAGTTGTTTGCACTGGTAGGTGAATAGTTAAGTAGGTGGTTAGCTTGGATGGGTACCTCTGCCTAGAAAAAGCCCGTATCATACTAGGAAATAAATATTTGAATTAATTGAGTATGCGGTTATCTATGTTGTATGAACATTTGTTAAAGTGTTCTGAGACTCTTGAGCTGGCAGTGGGGAAACTAATGAATTAGACAGGACACCTGTCCTCCGGGAATTTACACTCTAGTAGAAGAGGAGAACAAGCAAATACACAATTGATGGATGGATGTTTGGGTAGGCGGGTGAAAGGTTCTGTGTAGGGAAGGGTGGCGTTGAATGGATAGTTATTCACTTGGGTGGTGGATAGATGGACAGGTAGATGAGACATGGATGGGTGAGTTGAATGGATGTTCAGATGGGAGGATGGGTGTGAGGATTTGGGAGGGTGGTTAGCTGGCTAATAGGATCAGACGTTGGTCGAGTGGTAGATGGAGGAGTAGGTAGATGAGAGGCAGATGGGTGGTTTGAGTGGGTCTTTGGATGGATGGATGGGTAGGTGTTGGAGAGGTAGATGGATAGGTGGTTAGATGATTGGATGGAGAGATCAGTTGTGTGGATGAATGGGTGGCTGGATGGTTGGACATGTGGGTGGGTGGTGGCTGGGAGAAGGCAACAGGCCTATTATGTGTGTAATGGGCTCAAATACCGGAGGTTGTGTGGAAAAGGGGAGCTTAGCGGTGGGAACCTAGGGCAGGCTCTAGGGGCATGAAGGTGCTGAAGTCCAGTGTGGATAATGAGGAAGGAGGGAGTGAGCTTGTAGTTGGAAGATAGCTGATTGGGTACTGAGGGCTAAGGAGTGACTGGGTGGAGTCCTCATCTTCAATGATCTGAGTGACCCGTAGGGGAAGTTCTCTGCCCCCTTCCCACTCTTCTAGTGCTAGTAGCGAGCATAGCATGGGAAGAACCAGTGGGGTGATGAGGGGCCACTGGGGGCAAGAGGACAAGAGTGTTGTCATGGTAATAGAGCCTCTCCCTGGACTCCCAGGCCGCTGAACCCTTTAAGGGTGACCGGCCTGGCCACTCCCAACATGGCGCGCGCGCGCTGACCGCTCCCCGTCCGGGGGCGCCGCTAGGGCGCGGGGGCGGAGAGGAGGGGGGCGGGGGGGCTTCCCGGACCTCCCCATCATGGCGGCGCGGCGGGGCTGTCGCGCTTAGGTCACGGCGGCGCGCCGGGGGGGCGGGGCGGCGGGGGGAGCGATTTAAAGGGACAATGTCCCCCGAGCGGTGGAGGCAGCGGCGGCTGCGGAGGCCGCGGCACCGGCACCGGTAGCGGCAGCAGCGGTAGCGGCAGCGACTGCCGCACCAAAGAGGGGAGCTCCGAGCCCCGGTGCCCGGCCGGCGGCGCCGCCTCCCCGGTGAGGCCCGGTCTGGCCTGGGGAGCCCGCGGGCGGGGCGGAGTCGACGCGGGGAGGGGGAGGCCCGGCCGGGCCGGGCCAGGCGGGACCCCCCGGGGCGGGGGGCGGGGGCGGGGCCTGCAGGGGCGGGGCCTGGCGGGGGCGGGGCCGCACAGGTGGGGGGAGGAGCGGGGGTCTTGGGGCAGGTGTCCCCCCCCACCTCCGCGCGTCCCGCGGGGTCTCCCGCCCCGAGATGCACGGGCGGAGGGCGCAGCTCCTGGACCTTGGTCCCCCGAGGGGTGTGCTGGCGCGGCGCCACTCCCACCCCTGCTACTCCCGGGGGGCGTACAGGCAGGAGCCCCCTTCCTCACGCTGCCAAAGTGCTCCGAAGTTGCGATCCCACCGGTTCCCCGCCGGCATTGCCCACCCGGTGGGCACCCGCAGGTGCTTCCTTCAGGCCTGGGCAGGGACCCCAGCCACGACTGCCAGTCCTCGGACGGGCCCCCTGGGAGTCCCCAGGCCCCCAGGGCAGAGCCTGCAGCCAGGCCTGGAGCCCCGGCCCCGCCCCGGTTGCCTGGGCTCGGCCTCCCCACCATCTCCCCAGGGAGGGCGCCTCATTCCTGCCCTTCACTTTCCGCCGTTACCTTGAAGGTATTTATAGGTGTAGAGGACAGCCCCCACCCTCACGGCCTCCTCAGGGTCCTCATTTCTGGACCAGGAGCCCCATCCGTCCCTATTGCCTACAGACTAGAGAGATCTTGGGAGGGTCGAATGGAGGAACCCAGGCTATGTGTGCATGAGGGGTAATATGGGGGGAAAGCGAAGGTGTTAATCTGGGGTCACTTGAGGCTGTTGTGAGGGTGAAAGTATTAATGCTGGAGAACCCTAAGATTGGGGGTGGGGAGGTGGGAATGTGGGAAAGTGCAGGGGTAATCATGGGAGGGACTTTAGACAGGGTCTAAAATCAGAGCGTCGAAGTGGCTGATGTGCATGCCAAGGCACGGGCATAGGGTATACATGTGCATGGAAGTGAGGGCACAATTGGGCGAGTGCAAAAGGGAGGCTTCTGCAAAAAGTGATAAGATTAATGCTGGAAGAAAACAGGTGGCTGAGTGTGCATGTGTGAAAATGGGCAAACTGAGGCAGCACAGGATCTGTGTAAAGAGGTGTTCTTTGTACACCTTTATAGGGCCCCAGCACCATTTATTTAGCTCACCTGGCTGGGAGGTAAACTGAGGCACTGGGCTGCAAGGGTGAGGACTAGGGCTTCAAGGAAGGAGAAACTGAGGCAGAGTCCCTTTCCTACCTCCCCTAAGCACCTGTCTCTCTGCCCCCAGACCTACAATGCCTCGCTGAGCCAGCCCGGCAGCTCAGTGGAGCCAAGCAGAAAGCATCCATGGATGGACCCCTGGCAGGCGGCCTGGCTGCCCCAGATCGTCCTCGGGGCCCTGAGAGACTGCCAGGCCCAGCACCAAGGGAGGACATCGAAGGTGGAGCTGAGGCTGCTGAGGGGGATGGTGGCATTTTCCGGTCCACCCATTACCTGCCTGTCACCAAGGAGGGCCCTCGAGACATTCTGGACGGCAGAGGTGGCATTTCTGGTAAGAGAGTGGGTCCTGTGGCCCTGGGGGAACATCCAGCCTGGTTCCCAAGACTCAGATAGGGCCAGTTCACCCAGCCCATCAAGGGCTGAGTCGTAGATTCTGCTTGGGTCCAGAGCCTTCTCTTTGCACTCTGCTTAGTTTTCCATTTTACAGTAGTTAAAATAGAGGCCCTGCAAGCCAATGACCTGACCAAGGCCCCACAGTGGGTGGCACGGAGCTGGGACTTGAACTCAGATCTGCCTCGCTCCCTCCTTTGAACACACTAACTGGGTTTAGGTGCCCGGCTTAGAGCCTTAAGCTCCCTGCCCCAAGCCCACTTGTTCCCCAGTGTTACCCTGCCTCAGCAGTCCATCCTGTCTTGGTGAGTCCTCCCCCTGAGCCATGAGCCAAAACAGCTTGTGCCCTCTAGTGGCTGGGGAAGAGATTGAGTAGTCAGGGATGCCGGCCACCCCTTTGTGCCTCAGTTTACCCAGCAAAAGGAGATTTCACACTGTCCACACCTCAAAATTTGTTATTCATTAAATTCTCAGCACTTACTAAATGCCAGTCTTTGTTCAAGGCTGGGAATACAGCCATAAACAAAAGAGGCACAAGTCCCTGCCCTCAGGGGCTTAACATTTCAGCAAGGGAGATAGATAGTAAGCATCCAAATAAATTAGGGCAGGTGGTGACAGATGCTGTTGAAGGTATTCTACCAAGCCCGCACCTGGGGGACCTGAGAAGGCCTTTCTGAAGGGGTGGAATTCGAGTGGAGCATGGAATGAATGGTGGGAAGGCAAAGCCGGGTGGAGGAGATGGCCAGTGCAAAGGCCCTGTGGTGAGGAAGAGCATGGTACAGCTGGAGGGTGGTGGGGGCAACACAGGCTGATGCACCAGACATATCTCTCTTCATCTCCTTGGCATTAAGGCCTTGGTTTCTAGGAATCTACAAGCACCCTGTTTGAGGGCGGGGCGGGGGGGAAGCCGTGTCCTACATGCCAAACCCTTTACGTGATCGTCTCATGTCATTCTCAAAAGAACCCTGCAGCCTTTGTTATTATCTTGTGTTAGAGATGGGGAAACAGGCCCTGAGGGTTTAAGTTGCCCGAAGTCTTAAAGCTAGTCAGTAACCTGGCTTGACAGCCCTCATTCTTAACCACCACACTCCATCAAAGCATCCTTAACCTGCCCCCTGTTCACCCTAGCAATGCTCATCATGCTCAGATATGTACAGAGCACTTTCTTGGGCTGGGCATTGGGGCACAGCCTGCGACCAAGCACATACACCATCCCTACCCCCATGGGCCCTGCCACCTGGAATCGGACCAGCCACCAGGGGTTATGATACAGTCACTGGGGCTGCAATGGGGAAAGCCCAACCTCGCCCAGCTTGGAAGGCATCCGGGAGTCAAGGATGAGGAACAGTGAGTTAGGCAGCAGGCTCCATATATACAATGGCATGAAGGTGACTGGTGGCACCTGAAGGTGTTACGCAGGAAGATGACAGGGTGAGACCTGGGGGGTATCAGAGCTCAGGGGACCTTAGGAATCAGCTCTTCTGAATCCTAAGTAACAAGGGGTGAGAGAGGCAGGACCCTGTCCCAGGACACACTGTCCCCACAACTTCCCTACAGAGCGGACCCATAGACCCAGGACTATGGAAGCCCCAGGGAACAGGCTCTAGGGTTCCAGGGCCTGGTTCTTGGGAGTTGGGTACTTCTTCTCTAACTGGCAGGAGCCCCAAGTGAGTGGGTGGGTAGGTGTCTTCTGAGCACCCCCCAGCAAATCAACCAGGGTCCAGTGCATGTGCCTGGGGAGGAGGGGAATATGGCTGCTGAGGGGAGCCAGGCCCACCCTTAGTGGTGTCTCTGAGCAAATGAGGCATGGGGTGGGGATGGCTTGAAGTGGAGTCTCGGCCTGGAGGTTGGAAAAGGGCCTGGGCTTCGGACATGGCGTTCCCCTTATCCCTTGCCGCCCTCTCGGCCTGCGCCACCTCCCTTCCCTG